CTGCCACCACCACCTTATTCACATCCTAAGCATTTTCTGTAAATATCATCAACCCGCATCGCCATTACCACCCATCACGGCTGTCATCTATCAAGAGCCTTTTGGCAGGCACGCAACCCAAGGCCCTTCCTGTGCATCCTGTCCGTGCAGTGAAGTCACCACATCCCATCGTAAAGCAGTGGAAAGTGGGGCCAAGAGAGCTATGCAACTTGCCCAAAGCCCCAGCAATTAGGAAGTGAGAGAAAGACATTGTGCCTGAGTGGGTCACTTTGACTCCATAGCCCATGCTCCCAGCTGCTCTGTGAGCATCACAGACTTAACCTATAATTCAGGTTAGTCACGCAACGTACCTTATGTGTGGGTAGAGCCTTAGTCAAGTGGACCATAATGGACGGTGTTTGTTGAACACTGGTCTCATGCTTTCGGTGGATTTTATTTTTACCTTCTACCAAGCCAGTATTATCTTATCCTCCTAGTAAGATAGACCATGTACGCCTATCACCCCATGTCAGTGTGTCACACTGGTGACTTGCTTGCCACCACGGTGCTGGTAGCAGTTTCGGACACCAGCAGGGTCAGCCTGTGGGCTGCCGTCAGCAGAGATGCCAGACTAAGGAGGAGAGGCAGGAAGGCCCGCTTCTGGAAATTAGCCAGTGAAAGCCCAGTGCTGCTCACAGAATGTTAGACTCCGAGGAAGTGCTGCAGGGTGAGCCCCAGGCTGGGAAGGTTCTCTCACACCCCTGCCACAGCGATGGGCTCAGACCTACCAGCGACCCAGGAGGCCGTGCGGGACCAGGCCCCGCCCCTTGGGTTTTCCGTTCGCCTGTGGACTCACCGCGAGTTAGAGCTGCCCTGCCAGCAGCCGCAGCCTTTCCTGCTGGGAGTCGACAGGGAGGTATCGAAGCAGGAGTTTCTGTTGCAAAATTACCTTGGACCTGGCCTTGGATCAACTGTAGCAGAGGTCAAGAGCAGCTAGGCAGCTGCTGTGTGACAGGCGTGTCCAGGTCAGTAGCCGGCCTAACCGCTTTGGAGACAAGTCATCAGGCTAAACGAGAGCCGCCTTCTTTAATGAAAAAACACATCTGTCGACTGAGAAGCAGCAGCAAGTATCCTCGCCAGCACGGAAACACTGTTTTTCCATTCAGAGTTGGGAACAAAACAGAGAAAAGCCCTTATCATGGCTCTGAGGGCCTTACCCTTTGAACTTGCTCCCGATGTTGTATCGGGACATCCCGACGTGGTGTCCACCCCCGGCTGCCGCTTGCACTCTTACCACTTGCCACTCTCTTCAGTGCTCACTAATGCTATCTATCACCTCCCCACATGCTGGCCCTGTAGTCCCTGGTCTCTGGGGAACACATGGGTGCTCCTGCTCCAGGCCACCATGCTTGGTGCTCCTCTGCCCAAGAGCTCTCTGCCTGGCTCCCTGCTGTCCAGAGGTCTGGACAGTGTATCTCAAGGAGCTGTCTTTCCCCAGCCCTGACCTTCTTTCCTTTCAGTTAGTGCCTGCCTTATATCTCCACTGCAGCATCCCTCCTTTCTGCAGTCATCTTAATTGTGTGATCCCCTCTGTGACCCACCGTGCCGGGCTTGGTGCACAGCTGGGTCCCTAGCGTGTAGAATAATGCCTAGCATGATTGGTACATGCCGGGGTAAATAAAAAGGCATTGCTGCTAGGGTTCCCATGCGTACGTGTATGGGTTTATTCCCAACAAAACCTGTCTTACACATGTCCCTGCTCACTGGATGGCCATCTCAATAATAACACTTGCCTCAGTCTCCTGAGAAGTACCTTCGAGGGGGAAAAAAGCTCCAAGGCAAAACTGGCCCACAAAGGGGATCGGCTGGGCCAGTTCAATTCAAGACGGCCGGTCTGCTCAGAGGTGTTTGGAATTCCCAAGTGATAATTGCGATTCATACACACGGGATCCTTGCTCATAATGGCAAATGCAAGATGTCCCTGAGAGATGGGGGTGAAGGCATCGTCTCTCCTGAAATTGCATGTTCACTGATCCCACTTAACTCACTTCCACCTGTTGTGTCTGTTTGGGGGCATGTGGCTATCGCAGTGGTAGAAGAACTCTCATTTGAACACATGAAACTCAGAGACCAGCCGGCCCCGTTGCCTCCCCAAAAGCAACGGTGGCTGCTCTGGTTGTCGGATTTCGGAAGTGTTGCCGGGTGCACAGCCCTGGCACTTGAGTGGACGTGCATGTCCAGGAGTCGAGTCCCATGTGTTGGAATTTAGTTGATGAGACCGTGTTTCCACTCACTGGGGGAATGAACATCTTTATAAAGCCACGCAGCCCCTTGTGTCTGTCTCTGGACAGGCAGCCTTCCCCGGCTCTGCCTCCCAGGCTCCTAGTCTCTGGCTGCTCCTCTGCTCTGTCTCATGCGCTCCTGGCCTTGGCCTCTCGCTGAGCTGGGCTCCTCTGCTCTGTCCCGTGGCCTCCGTGCCGCCGTCTCTGTTGCTTGTCACACTGCAGACAGAGATCTTGAACCTGCGCCACCAGGGGCTCCTCTTCCGACGGCTCTGGGATTTTTCTGGGTCTGCTTCTAAGAGGGCACTTATACTCGGAAGAATAGCTTTGAGAGAGGTACGATTTTGTCTTCCAGCAGAATCGTCACCACCACCACCCACCCCGCCCTCGGCAGGGTGGGGATGATGGGGTAAAAGTTGTGAACATATTCCTTTGTCTTCCTAATGGCTTCTACCAAGAAATATTTTTATTGTATTTTTAATCTTTTTAGTTTTAAATATATATATAATTTCCCCCTACCTAAAGCTGAGCGTTTATTCAGCATTAGTCTGAATTCAGCTGAAGTTTGCCGAGAGAGGGACCAGACTTCAACCCGGTGCGCCAAGACATGAATGCAACATACCGGCATGAAGCAGGGAGGAATAGAGAGGTCTGCAGGGCGGGCCCCAATCCCAGCTACGCAGACAACCCCCCCTCGGCCCCCCAACCACCACCAAAGGATGCCTTTCAAGGACACCACTGAAGCTGGGAGAGGGGCACATCTGATCAGAGCACATGAAGAGGGAAGGAGAGAGAGTGGAGCACATCCCGGCCCACGAAGCCCAGAGGACAGTATTCCTGCTCAGAGCACCCAGTGCACAGAGAGAACCATAGGGCCGGCCCCACTAAAAGACACCATGTCCCTCACTGACCCATAGCACTCCGACGAGAGACAGCACTGGAGACAGTGCAGGAATTGTGCCTGATCTGACCCACCACACCTCGGCGAAACACAGGGCGTGCAACAGAGCAGCAAGGAGAACAAAGCAATGGAGTCCATGGGGAATACCAAAAGTAGACTTTGAGGCCAGGGTGTGGCACCCATCTGACTTGACCGGCAAACACGCCTAAAGGTCAACAAACAGACCTGGAACTATTTATAGGAATTTAGTTGATGAAACAACCAACTGTTCTTGTTTTCTTTTGCTGTTTTGCCTTGTATTTGTGCCTACTATTGTGTCTGCATGTCTGTCTAGATAAGATATGCGGATAAACAATCTGGAGGAGAAAACAATGGGACTGGTGGTTCCTGGGGGAGCCGGGGCATAAAAAGGGGGCTGTCAACAAACCCAGGGATAAGGGAACAACAAGTGATCTAAAAATCAATGGCAAGGAGGGCGTAGGATTCCTGGTGGAGCTTGATCAAGGGTAATGTAACCCAGAGGAATTACTGAAACCTGAATGAAGGCCGAACATGATAGTGGAACTAGAGGAAAGAAATAGGAGGCAAAGGACATTTATAGAGGTCTAAATACAGGAATGTACATATGTAAATATATTTATATCTACTGATAGGGAAATAGATCTATGAGCATATACTTATATGTTAAGTATTAAGGCAGCAAGCAGACACCGGACCTCTACTCAAGTACTCCCTCAACGCAAGAACACTTTGTTCAAATAACCGGGCATTCTGTGATGCTCACCTTCCCTGACATGATCGCTGAAGACAGATTAGATACATAAGCAAATGTGAAGAGAGCAGATGGTGCCCAGCTATCAACAGATAGAGAGTCTGGGGTCTTAGAGGCTTGAAGATAAACAAGCAGCCATCTAGCTGAGAAACAACAAAGCCCACATGGAAGAAGCACACCAGCCTGTGTGATCACGGGATGTCGATGGGATCAGGCATCAAAACAAAAACCCAGAACAAAAAATCATACCTATATGAATGAGGGAGAGGGCGGAGTGAGGAACCAAAGCCCACCTGTAGACAATTGGACATCCCCTTACAGAAAGGTCACAACAAAAAAGATGAGCCAGTCAGAGTGCGGTATAGCACCGATGAAACATACAACTTTCCTCTAGTTCTTTAATGCTTCCTCCGCCCCCATTATCATGACTGCAATTCTACCTTACAAATCTGACTAGGCCAGAGGATGCACACTGGTACAGACAAGCGCTGGAAACACAGGGAACCCAGGACAGATGACCCCTTCAGGACTGATAATGAGGGTGGCGATACCAAGAGGGCAGGGGGAAGGTGGGCAGAAGGGGAACTGATCACAGTGATCTACATGTAAACCCCTCCCTGGGGGATGAGCAACAGAAGAGTGGGTGAAGGGAGAAAGCGGGCGATGTAAGATATGAAAATAATTTGTAATTATCAAGTGTTCATGATGAGGGGGAGGAAGGGGGGAAAATGAGCTGATACCAAGGGATCAAGTAGAAAGGAAATATTTTGAAAATGATGACAACGTATGTACAAACTGCTTGACACAATGGATGGATGTATGGATTGTGATAAGAGCTATAAGAGTCCCTATCAAATGATTTCAAATATATAATATATATTTCCACCTCTCCCAACTAATGCTGAGAGTTTATACCCCCCTTATCTTAACTTATACGCTGTTATTTTTCTACCCAATCTGGAGGTTTTCTGTTTTCCCTTCGAGTTGACAGTTACCGATTGCAATTCTGGAATGTGTGTGTGCCCGGCTTTCTCTAAGTCAGACTGTCTGTGTTCACATCCTCCAGGGGCGAATCCGGAGCTGGGAAGACAGAAAATACCAAGAAAGTCATTCAGTACCTTGCTCATGTTGCCTCTTCGCATAAAGGAAGGAAGGACCACAATATTCCTGTAAGTCTGTTTTTGTTGTTACAGTTCCACTTCGCTTATCCTCTCACTGATTCAGGGGAAGAGTGAGAAAGCTGACCGGTACCGGCCCCTCGTCTTCACCCCGTGCCACCCAGCAGCTGTTACTCCCTTCCAGGAGGGAGCTGGGCTCCGAGAACGTTGCTGTTGGTCGTTGTCACTTCCAGAGAGCTACCACAATGGCTCTTGTGGCTCAGAGCCCCGTGTCTGACCCAAGATTAGTTGAGAACTGTTGACCCCCAGGGTCAGCCGTTCGAAACCACCAGCTTCTCTGAGGGGAAATGATGAGGCTTTCTACTCCTGCAAATAATTACAGCCTCGGGGAAACTCAGTGGGGCAGTTCTACTCCGTCCTCTTGAGTCAGAGTGGACTTGGTGACAGTACATCTGGTCCGGGTTAAATGCCGGAGGGCCACACTGGATGGAGACCTGACTCCTTTTGTACCGGAAGGTGCTCCTCGCTCTTTCAGCAGTCCTTCCTGCCCTCTCAGAGCAACCCACCGCCGCTGTCCACAGCCACTTGAAGGGGAGAGGAGAGGGAGGGGAGGTTCGTGATAGCAGAGGGGGTCAACGATAGCAGTGTCAGCCATCCACCACCATTTGTAGACGGGCAGACGTGGGCGTGAGCAGTCGGAGCCGCTGTCAGTCAAGCCAGCGTCCACAGGCCTGGTCTGCGCGGTGGCTTGCGTGCTTCGTGTGTGGCTTAACTGCCAGGGAAAGACCCAGACTTGCTAACATTTGCATTTATCTGTTTGTAACGAACAGCAGGAATCGCCTAAACCAGTAAAACACCAGGCAAGTGCTTTTTCTTTATGCTTCTTAGTCTTGAGTAATTGCGCTAACTTCTGAGTGCAAATCTGCTATGCAAAAGAAATTTTTAAAATTTTATTTTGAAAACGCATTGCACAGAGCCTTGCTCTTTGAAAAGAAGCAGCATGCCAGTTTTGCTTCCCGTCTGTTTTCTCGATACGTCTTTATTTGCTCTTCCATCCCGGTGTTGCATGTATGTCAAGCCTGTCAACATAGAGCTCATGGGTGGAAGGACTTCAGCCCGTCCTATGCACACTGAGCAAGGACCCAGCTTTGTGCTGCAGCGTTCAAAGTCGTACCTAAAGAGTAATAATAACTTCTCATGTGTTAGAATGTCACAGTGCTGTGTAGTTCCTGTCCAGATATATGTTTTGACCTATAGATTAGATTTTTTAAATTCTGGGCGAGTAGCAGGTGAGTCTTCTTCTTCCTAATTACGACCTGCCCTCCTGTAAGCTCCACAGAGCACAGGCAGTGAGCAACTGTGACCAGGAGCCTGGCTCCATTGTCTGCTCCCTGAGAGGGTGAAGAGGGCCAGTCTGAGACAGATTCCCCTCAGGTAGAGTGGAACACCTGTGCCTGGTGTAATGTGTTCCCCAGCATCGGGGAGTGTGGGCCTGTCTGTCTCCCACAGCCACGATGAGACACGGCTGACGGAAAGCAAGAAGCAGTAGCATTGTGTTGGGAGACGTAGTTTCTTAAAATCAGGCGACTGATCCGTATCTAAAGAAATTGTCACGGATAACCGAGCATTCCGGTGGTCTTCCTTAAGGTTCTTAAGACATTCTCAGACAGCCAGGCTGTGCTGTCCCTATGAAGAGCCCACAATGTCCCTCTTCTTTCGCTGCGGACCAAACCAGCCATGCCACCCGGGGAGGCTCGTGAAATAACCATGAACCCCAGAGGGTCTTTAAAAGCAGCTCTGCCAATGTAAAAGAGGACTGGTAGTGTTGAGCGATAAGCACCAGGCTGCCAGCACAGGGCCAGTCATGCAAAATCCGCCAATGACTCGCTGTGTGCGCCGTAGTGATGGACATTCTCGGAAACTGCATGGTAGATTGCTGTGGGCTGACTCGATGGCACTGGGTTGGGTTGGGTTGGGTTTGCCAGTTACAGAAAATCACTGCATCCACACACTGGCTTTTCTCTGTGGTTCCGAGGTACATTGAACTTGTCTTTAAATCACTAGTGAAAATAGTGTTAAATAATTGATAGGCAGATTTGAGGTTCTCCCCGCTCGATGGAACACAGAAAAAACACCATCGCTAACGTTTTTGTTGTGAAGTCATGTTAAACGACAGAGGAGTCCCTGTGACATATAAGTGCATGCCTTCTGCTAGCATTGGCATCGGGTCACAGCTGTCCCGGAAGCACAGGGCTCCCACGGGAGGCTGCAGCTGGTCCAGGGCGCACATCCCTTGTCATGTGGTTTGCATGTCTCACTGCATGCCCTCCTCATTGATGCTGCTTCTTGGTGTTGAAGCCCAGTAGTAGCTATGCGTGTTCTCCCTACTGTCCCCAGGAGAATGAGATGTGGGAGGGGTTGGTCACACCCAGAAGAAACAGTTACTTTTGCCTCCCTCAACTCCCCACCCCATTCCTGTCTAGTTCCTGGGTGCCCCACCTCCTGAGCTCCTTGCCCTGTGTTTGTGAATGAGTGACTGCCATACAGCAATAGCAATAACGTTGAGATCCTGTGTTTTGCAAGGCCAGCGTTTCTGTTTGGTCTGATTCACTGGCTTGTAAGTGTATGTTGCATTTCATAAACAACGCGCTCTTGGGCCCAGGCACCATTTGTGTAACGTTCAGATTATTACTAGGCAGCAGTTTTGATTGTAAAAGTAAGGGGGAAGGTGTCGCTCGGACCTGGGTTTTGACAGCCTTTTAGTTGCTTAATTTCCCGCGTCAATATTTTCTCTCTCTCCCTCTCTAACAGCTTTATTGAGATATAACCTAGACCATACCATGTCACTCACCCATGAAAGTGTACAATTCGGTGTTTTGGTTTTTTAGTGTATTCACAGTTAGGCAGTCAGCACAACACATTGTAGAACATTTTCATTACCCTCAAAAGAAACCCTGTACCCATTAGGAGCCCCGTCCCCCAGCCCTGGACTACTTACTGCCAGTCCACTTTGGATCTGAACTGGAGTCACCCTTTATACGTAGTCCTCTCACCGTCTTCCTTCACTTGGCACGATGCATTCCAGGTGCATTCCTACTGTAGCTTGAATCAATACAACATTTTTTGGGGGGAAAGGGGGGTGTCTTGATAGCCAAATGATAGTTCATGTATGTATGTAGCAGCACATTTTATTTGTCCATGCCTCGGGAGATAGACACGTGGGTAGACTTTCCACTTTGGGGCTACAGTGCGTAACGATGCCGTGAGCCGTGGTGTACGAGTATTTTCGTGTGAGCATGTGTTCACAGTTCTTAGTGTTTGCCCAGGGGGGATTTGTGGGCCCTTTCAATACCCCTGTGGTCCTTATCTTATGAAGCTGCCAGACGGTGTTTGTGAGCACTGGACATTCCCGCCAGGCAGGGAGGAGAGGATTCTGGCTCAGCACCCTCATCAGCACCCGGTACCTGTCTTCTTTTCCCTTACAGTCTTCCTGCTGGGCGCTCAGTAGTGCAGCCGTCCACTTTCGCCTGCACAGCTTACTTAATCTTCGTTGTGAAAATAGCAGCAATTCAGTCTTCTTTTTGAGAATCTTCTTACTTCATCTTCATTTTGGCAGTAGGGGCACCTGCTAGAGACATTCGTTTCCAGCATCAAAGATGTAATGTTGAGTCCGCACACTGGAAGTAGCACTTGCTCTCTTTTCTAACCAAATCAAAGGATTCACGTGGCCTGATCCCAGGGTGCCTGGCCAGCCACCTGCCCCTCAGGAGAGGTTGTGCCCAGTGTCCCCACCCCAGAGCCGGAATCTGGGGCTGCTCCTGGGGGCCAAAATGGGTTTGGAATGACTGGTTCCCCAAACATGGGGTTGCCGTGAGCAGGAATCGGCTTGATGGCAACGGGTGCTGGTGTTTTTATAGAACATGACTGACCGCCCCGAGGAGCCAGTCCACCTGCCTCACCACCCTGCAGCTTGTAACCTCTGGACAGCCACGGCAGGATAACTCTGTCTCTGACCTCCCTCCGTCCGGAACTGCTTGGACCCAAGACAACTGGGACCACAGAAGTCTGAGGCTGCCCGTGCAGGTCAATGCCTGGTTGCTGCCCCTCCTTCCTATAACCTGCCCTTTGTCAGTGAGACTCCAGCCGCTTGGCCCCTCAGGCCTGCGCTCCCTCCCCAGTGGAACCGCAGTTTTGAAAAAGGTGTGATTTTTAGCCACTTCAAACGTTATCCACTCAATACCGATGATTTAGCCAAGTACCGATTAGAGGCTACTTCATCAACATTGGCGTGGTCTTCACCAGGGTAGATAAACGTTGAACGGGTTTCTTACAAGACCAGACTCCTGCCGTGGAGTCAGTTCCAGCTCCGGGATCCTGTGGCACGGGTTCCAGGCGCCTGTGGGTTCCCAGGCTGGGCCTCTTTATTGGAGTAGAAAGTCTCACTCTTCCCCATGGTGCTGGAGGTTTCGAACTGCCGACCTTGCCATTAGCAGCCCAGCTCATAATCCCTACACCACCGGGGCTCCCCCTTGAAAGCCTTAGCTAACTCAAAACACTTTAAGAATAATTTCAGTACTTAGGGATTTTGCATTTTTTTTAACCACATTCCCAAAGAACCTATGTTGTTACCCTATGAAATAGAAACAAGGGACTCGGCTGTCTCCAGTTCCAGTGGGAAGAGTAACCTGTGCCTTCTCTTTCAGAGAGTGGTGTGTGCAGACCACTAGCCGTTAGTTACAGCCCAGCACTTAACCCCTCTGCCACCAGGCTCCTTGACAGCCGTATCTAGGGGATGTTCACGGGCTAGGTGTCATTTGCTTTACCTCCCAGTGAGAGAAACACTGTAAAGGCACCTTATTATTTGAAGCGTTTGTATTGTGGTTTAGGAGTCGGGGGAAAGATGTGGGAACCCAGTGGGGCAATTCTTCTCACGCCTGCCCTGTGGCTGTGAATCAGCGTCAACTCAAAGGCAGTGAGCGAGAGAGCGTGGTTTGGGTGGTGCCGTGCTTGAAGCACTCAGCTGCTGGCCGAAAGGTGAGCAGCTCAAGCTCACGGCCACTGGGCAGGAGACAGGAGAGGTCCCGCAACCTGCCGCCGTAGAAACTCACAGCCTTGCAGACTCCGTGGGGCAGTTGACTCGGTTCTGTACAGCCACCAGGAGTCAGAAGGAGACTTGACACAACACGGGGTTTTATTCTGACGAGGCAGGATAGCTCGTCATTCTCAGAAATCTGTGTTCTGATGCCCTTGACCCAACAGTTGATGTGTCATCGAAAGGCCATGTAGCGCCTTAAAGTCGGTGTCTACCCTCTGATCATACGGATTGAACTGTGTGGAACAAACGGGTGGAACACCCCTGCCCCCTCCTCCCAAAGCTGTCATAGTGTGCTTTAGAGAAGCCTCTGGTCCTTTCTTCCTGGGAAAGCAGTAAGCTTGTCTGTCTAAAGCACAGCTCCAAGGAACGTCATTGTCTCGCTTCGTAGCACATGGGAATGAGGGTGAGCAGCTTGTCCCAGGTGACCGCTGAGCACCTGGGGAAAGGCAGTGTCTACCTCACAGGTTGGCAGCTCCCAGACTGTGTTAGTCTGGGTAGACTAGAGAAACAAATCCACAGAAACGCATGTGTATGAGAGAGAGTTTTATATTAAGGGTGAAGTGTACATTAAGAAAGCATCCCGACCCAATGCTGTCCAAGCCCACAAGTCCAACATTAACCCATATGTCCGACACCCATCGCACAAAACACACGCAAACACGCCAACTGCAGGAGGAAAACCGAATCAGTGAGCGTGTAAGCATCTCAGCACTGACAGGGGTCTGCACGTAGCTGCTCCAGCACCCAGGGCTGCATCGGGGTAGGTCCATGTGGCTTCTCCTGGGGATGTCTCGCAGGAAGTGAGCCTTGCCAGCTAAGTCAGCCGCACACTGGCCCAACCATCAGAGAACAAGAGATCAGAGAACCGGAAGGGCGAGACTCACCAAGTCATTTATCTCTCAGCCCTTCAATTAATCCCACATGTGTTTATCGGCCAGGTTGGCACAATCGACCTTGACGATCGCACATACTTTACGATGACCTGAGTCCCTCGGGCTTGAGATGCATCAAAAAAAAATCGGCAGTATGTTTTAGCGTGATCAGGAATCTGCTGGTGCTGTACTAAAATAACCCCCTGGAAGATTTGCCCTAGGGAGCAATTTATCTAATGCCAAGAAGGTGAAGCGGTTCTGTCTCATGGAATGCCTGTCCCGTGGAGTTCTTCCCGGGCTTCGGACTGGCACGGTGCTAGTCCCCCCCCACTCATGTGGATCCTGACTCACGTGGGACAGGACAGAACTGCGCCACTGCTCCGTGGTGTTTTGAAACCTCAAGTTCAGCTGACCCAGACACAGACTTGCCTCCTCTTTGTCTCGCAGAGCGGCTGGTGGGCGCAGCCAGGGCTTAACCTGTTACGCCACCCGGGCACCTGCCGGTTGTGGTTAAGACTGTCCGTCTGGACAGTCCCTGTAAATGCTACATCGGCTTGGCGCGTGAGGAGTGTCTCACCTCACCGTTTAATTTGCCACCGGATCATTCCCCCTTAGCTGCCGGTGGAGAAGACCAAACTGGGACGGAATGCCAAAATTGTGAGAATAGCGCGTATTTGTCCTCATCTTGGGATCTGACGATGGTACTGTGCCCCACATGGCACATAACTGGCCACTAATCGGGAAATTATATGTGAGTGCTCTATCCTCTTGTTTTTTGCTTATACAATCACATTTGCTGTTGGTCTCAAATGCCCTCCCCCCCCCTCTTCTCCGGACCTATAACACTGTGGATATCTGAAAATACCGGGGGTAAGATTTGTGTTTGGAAAAAGCAGATTTATTTTCCGCCACCAAAGCTAACCCTGAAACTGCATTCCAGCCAGACGGCGTCACTTCCCCCAGCGTTCTTCCTGGCCAGACCAGCAGCTGCCGCCCCTCCTGCAGGCCACGTGCTCCGTTGCTAAGTCCCACGTGCACACACACGCCGCGCCTTCTGTTAGCCCCGTCTGGAAATAAAGACATTGGCTGTGTGGACTTGTAAGTTTAAGCAGGAAGCCAGCTGTGCTGTCATCTCTGTCACCCTCTGGCAGAGGTCCCCTTTCTACCACGGCGAGCATCCTTGTGACCGTTGAACACCTGATCCCATGTCAGCGAGACCCTCCCATTTCCCCGAGCCTTTCTGTTCCTGGTCGATGCCACCGAGTCAGTTCGGAGCCCACAGAAGGCAGCGGTGCCTGGCCCTGCGCCTCCGTCCTCACAATGTGCCTGTGCCCGAGCCCAGCGTGGCAGCCGCCCTCCTCAGGACCCACACTCCTTCCCATGAGCCCTCTGAGCCAGAGCGGCTACAGCAAAGAAGCAGTTGCCCGTCGTTTATATGACGAGGAAGTTTTCGAGTGTTTATAGCCCTCCAAAAATGACCTACCAGGTCATACCAAATACCAGCTTCACCTAAGATACCACTAAGGCGTCATGTTCCCAGCGGGCTCAGCTGACTGCGTGCTGCGAAACAAACGCTGGCTTCCCTCCTCACAGCCCTCTTCTGCTTTCTCTCCGTTTGTGAACAGAGGTGCCGAGGCAGGTCTTTCACGAAAGCAAAGTGCAAACTCTTTTCTAGAGCAAACTAAAAAAGCAGGCCGGAGTGGGGGATGGGAGGGCTGGGATCCCGTGTTCAAATTAGTTGCTTTATGGTGGGGAATTCTAACGGGAGGAAGGATACCGTGGCAAGGGGGGAGATTTAAAAAAAAGGCAGCCTTCGATCATTGGCATCAGGCACAGCAGAAGTAGATGAAACAGAAACGGCAGTTGAGACGTCGGGCTCAGCCTCCCCTCCTGAACCTCAGTGGTTTGTCTCTCTCGTCGTACTTCTTGGCCTGCTTTATGTGCTGTGAGCGTAACGGACTCGGTGGCAGTGAGTTTGGGTTGCTGTCATTTGGGGGGAATCCTTTTGCGTTGAGTGTGACGTTCTGAGCGCTTCTACGGGTGCTCATTCTTGTTCCGCCAGCAGAGCCCGCTGCTGCCCCCAGGAAGAAGAAGCCAACCCAGGCGGCTGTGTGGCGAGGGAATCAAAGAGCTGCCACAAAGGAGGCGGTCTTGTTTCTGTTGTGTGCTTTTATTCTCCCCGACCCCTGGGACTGCAGTTGAGAGCTGCGTCTAATCCACATCTGCTTTTCTTTCTGTCTGTAATACCCTTTAGGGGGAACTTGAACGGCAGCTTCTGCAAGCAAATCCCATTCTGGAATCATTTGGAAATGCAAAGACTGTGAAAAATGACAACTCGTCTCGCTTTGTAAGTGTTGAACACCTCCGAATCTTTGCATTCCTCTGATTTCTAGTTAAATGGTTGCTAGGATTAAGCAGTACACATCTAGAAAGACCCATGTACTTAACGTGTCTAGGCATGTATCCAGATGGGTATACAATGACATAACCACTTTGAGTTTATTTCTGCATCTTTGGGAAGAATAATAAAACCCAAGTTTTGGGGTAGGTAGAAATTAAATGTGACGCATCTGAGCACTTTAGCATGGTGCCAACCTTTATTAAACATTTACCATAATCAGAATATCTGGCTGAGAGAAACATGGTATTCGACACGTTAGAGGAGGTGGACATTCATGAGAGAAGGCGCTGGTGGTTCTGAAGTTGGGGTCAGCTGTAGTAAATTGTCCTTTCTATAGCGTGATAGTTCTTTGGGATTCGAACTTCAGAAGAATTTAGCACTGTGAACTTCTCTTTAAAAATCCTTTTCAGCTATTCAACTGCTTTGAATCATTGGGAGCTTTTCTTTATCCCTCTGATTGACTGGCTCCAACAGCTCCCTCGAGGACATGGTGCTGAGGGAAAGCCAGGGCAGGGCACTTGCACATCACCCCCTCTCAGTCCAGCCCGATAACGGCAACTCAGTCTCCAAACCCACACTGGACAAAAGCGCAACCTTGTCGCCAGTGTTCTGCCCTTGGTCACTGTAGATGACGGTAAGACTGCTACCTTCAGTGACCCTGTCTGAGACAAGAACAGAGAGGGGTCCTAGTGACCCCTCTATTTCTGCCTGTGTCCTTCAAGTCAGGTCCACTGCTTTTCCTCCTCTCTGATCCCGGAAGCATTGGTCAGGCTGGGGTGGGAGGAGAATCCTGTTTCAACGATCTGTCTGTGAATTATTTTGGGGAATTTGATGCCCTTGGAACATACTTCCCTGTTTTTGTTTTTAAAGAAACTGGAGATGTAGGGTTGGCCGCTTCTGCGTGTTAGTCTTCTGATGACATGGCGTCTGAGATTAGCGGAAAGGGACCAGACTCAGGCTCTGGGGAGAGCCAGAAAACGTGAAAGGAGCTAGGCCGAGCAAGCACCAGAAGGCTTTCCTGGTTCCATAAGAAGTAGGAGTCTATGTGCTGGGAAGAGATTGTGCATCCCTAATAAGATAAAGTCCCAAGTTGGCAGAGGAGTGATTTTAGCTTTTCTTGCACAACGTAGGATAAGGAATGTTGCCTGTGACTTCCAGAGTTACAGAAGGAGCTGGGGAGCCCGGACTCCTTGTGGACTTTTGCTTCTTCCCTTGATCAGAACCCCTGGGCCTGAGCCACAATTAGGGCTTAAGTTCTCCCTTCTGAAAGCTCTATGTTTAGTGGCCGCATCACGAAGGAGGCGAGGCTGTGAGCTCCCGGCTGTGGTATGTGCCTCCTCCTGGAGTCCCACGAGGTCTTCTCCGTGGAAAGCGCTGTCTTGCACCACATGCATCAAGTCGCCAGTCTATTCCGATTTTCTCCCCTACGTTCAGCAGAGAGAATTTGCTCTCCAGTTGCCTCCTCTCTGCCTAGAAAAGAGAAAGTGCTGCTCAGCAGTCACTTGCAGCCCGTGGTAAAGACGTCCTCAGTCTATTGCCAGACAGTAAAGACTCCTACTTGCAAAGATAGATTCCCACTTGCTGTCTTTGTGTTTGGGACAGACGTGAGTATAACGCTGTGGCGGTTGACGCATACATAGCTCACCCTATTAATAAGACCTCTTCCCACCCTAATGCAATGTTCTTCTGCATCCGGTCTAGCTTCTCGGGTTATTTCCTCGGTCTACATATTGAATAAGGGTGGTGAAAGGATACAATCCCCATCTCCATCCCCCTTTGAACCGAAGTGGTAGTTGTTTTTTAAAATGTATTTGCTAGCGAATTACTATATACAAGCCTTCTTAATGCTTCTTACTTAGACATCCTATGTAGAGATTGATATAAATTGGGTAGAAACTTAGTTTATACCTCCTCCTGGGAGGAAGACTTATCGTTTTCTGGCTTGCTTGAAGCAGGTCTTAGGATGAAGAGCTTGAATTAGTCAACAGCTCAAAATTCTCCATAGTCCTTATTTCAGCTGAGGTGTACTATCTTACAAAGTACCTAGGCTAGACCAAATAACATCCCCGAAGTGCCCTCATGCTAATGTATAGAGGCTCGTATTTCATAGGAAAGGGTTTTTTCTTTTATTTTTTTTTCAGGTATTTTCTTGTTCACTCTTTGAAACGGTAATGCAGTTAGTTCTACGGGTTGAGTAATAATCCATTAAAATCTCTCTTTAAGAGTTCTCTGTGAGTGTTGCCAGTATTTTTGTCCTCGGGAGGGCTAGAACGTTAGCAGTAGGGCCCATTTCTAAGGACTTTTCTAAAATTGGGGGGTTTGCCCTGTGGTGCAGCTCGCTGATTGCGTCCTTACTAGGCGGCTGCTCTTTAGGAGGGTCTGTGCTGCTTGCTTGATGTCTTCTTGGGGAATGACTTACAGATCTTGTTAAATTTTAACCTAATTCCAAGAGGATTTTATTTTATTTTTTATTTTTTTAACATTTTATTAGGGGCTCATACAACTGTTATCCCAATCCATACACGCATCAATTGTGTAAAGCGCATTTGTACATCGTTTCTCAAAACATTTTCTCTCCATTTAAACCCCCGACATTAGGTCCTCATTTTCCCCCTCCCTCCC